AGTAGCTCAAAAGAAGGAACAAATCCTTACAGCAAGAATCATTCCCACCCCCTCCACACACAGAGTAGACAGGGATGGGCAACTTCGACATTGGCTACCCAAAATGGGGATGCGTCGCTACAGAGGCAAGAAATGACTGGCTTACAAGCTTTCAAGAGGGAACCTAGGGCTAGGGAGCATGGAGGAGGGCAGAATCTCCAGTAGGTACTATTCAACCTGTCTGGGCGGAGCGGATAAAAGGAAATACAGATGGGTAACTCGTGATACTGTAGTGAATAATGCTTGTCAGGACGGATTATGAGGGTTGGAAATGCAAAGATAGACGTTTTGTAACAAGTTAAGGGAGTGATTAATTCTATAGGCTAGGATCGGAGGTCTCTGGGACCATCAACGGAGAAGGGCCGAAAGCGGGACCCTACCCAGAGAAACAGAGATGCCTGAGATGGAGACAGAGACGATGACGTGGAGTGATGAAGCGGCTGGGGACTTTGGATCCAGAGAGGGAAAGGGACTGTGGGCCAAAAACTGGGGGTGTGGTGGGGGGGGAGTGTAGGGGGGCAGGTTTCTAGGATATACCCTTTGGTTGGTTAGTGATGCATGGAGGGGATTGGAACCATGGCAATGAGATTATGTATGATGGAATGAAGGTAAAACTAAAGTCTCATGTAAACGATCATATAATTCACAATAAAACATTTTAAAAAAATACAAATTAAAGAATTAAACTTCAATGTTTGATGCTAATGTTAAAATATAACATCACCTTAAAATAATTTAGACTTGACCACATAAGGAAATAATTTTGATTGACTTCTTTAAAAATCTGTTTCTAGAACTAGTGGACCTGGATCCCGAAACAGTCAGTTTGGCATATTTTCCAGTTCTGAAAAAATCAAGGACCCAAGACCACTTAATGACAAAGCATTCATTCAGCAGTGTATCCGACAGCTCTGTGAGGTATTGTAGACTTTTTAAGTTGTCTAAATTTTTTATGTTCTCTAGGTATTTTTCGGTGATTTTTCTGTTATAAAATGTCTGGTGTTTCAAAAAGATTATTTTAGTTTCTTACAGAAAATGGTTACGCTCATGGTATATCCATGAAATCTCTACAAGCTCCATCAGTTAAAGACTTCCTGAAGATCTTCACTTTTCTGTATGGCTTCCTGTGCCCTTCATATGAACTTCCTGATACAAAATTTGAAGAAGAGGTTCCAAGAATCTTTAAGGACCTTGGGTTTGTATGTTATATTTCTCATTAGCCTACAGGAATTATTGGAACACAGAGAAGAATCAGACTCAATACATTTATAAAACCTCTGAGTTAACAAAGTACATATTTTAAGATGGTCCCTATGGACCCAATGTATAGGCTAAATTAAACCAAACAGGCAAACAACTGACTTTACCAGTCATTAACAAAACTGTCAGTGATACGTATAAGCCCTAAACTGCTTAAGAGGCAAGAAAAGTAGGAAAGATGGGCTTGACACCCAAAATTTTATAAAAGTAGAAAAGACAGGATGATGGTCAGAAGGTCTTTAAATTTTAGAAGGTCTTTAAATTTTTTAGCTTGGTTTTGAGAGTTTGTACTGTGGTTTAAAGACACAGGAAGAAGAATTAATTTGGTTAAAACTTGTGGTTTACTGAATTTAGATTGTTGTTGTTAAGTGCCGTCGAGTCGATTCCAACCCATAGCAAACCTGTATAGCGTTTCCAAGGAGCGACTGGTAAGCTTGAACCACCGACCTTGCAGTTCAAACGACTTTGCAGTCTGACGCATTAGCCCACAGTGCCACACCAGGACTCAGATCAGAAGGAACAAAACATTATTTTAGGAAAGAAGTCCACTGTATTGCTTGTCAATTAAGTTCTACAGGTTAGGGAGTGCTAGATGTACAGAGTAGCCTACAAACAAGATGCTAAAGAATCAACAGAATCATTCAAGAGTGAGATTACTAAGGAGAGAATCTCAACAAATAACTTGTAAATAAGTCAAAGCTGTACATGGTGTGGCGCTGTGGGTTAATGCACCAGACTGTAAAGCCGTTTGAACTGCAGGGTCAGCAGTTTAAGATTACCAGCTGCTCCTTGGAAACCCTATACAGACAGGGTCGTTATGGGTCAGAATCGACTCGATGGCACTTGACAACAACAATATGCGTTTTTATGCTGAATTTTTAAAATGTAACTTCTTGCTTAACTTAATTATTTTGACTAGATAAACATGTTAAGTAACCTTTTTCTCATTGTTTTTAGGTACCCTTTTGCATTGTCCAAAAGCTCTATGTATACAGTGGGGGCCCCTCATACATGGCCTCACATTGTGGCAGCTTTAGTGTGGCTAATAGACTGCATCAAGGTATTTGATTTGTCGTTTTAAAAAATGTACATATGACAAAGATTTTTGTTTTCCTTAAAAAAAAAAAGGATACTTATTTCTTTCTAATCATGTTCTTTCCAGTTATCTAAAAGTCTGCCTCAGAGTTTTATTTTTCAAAGTACATTTGGTCTTTTAAGTTCTTCAAACTCATGATACCAGAGGTGAAGGAAAGGAAATATACACATTGGCAAGGAAATTGTTGGTTTTTATGAAGTTTTGCAGCTCAAAAAATGGAAAATTTATTGTTTTCCCCTGACATTCTTTAGTTTGTGTGTGTGTTTCTAATTAAAATACATATTCATAGTAAAAGTTTTAGAAAATACAGAAAAGCACTCTCAAAAAATAATAGTCCCATAAATATGTAACAAAGACTAGCAATGATTTGGAATATAGTTCTAAAGGTATAATATTTGTTAGGGGGGTTGGTATTAGCTGTCAAGTCTATTTTGACTCATAGGGACCCTATGCACAACAGAAGGAAACAAACACTACCCAGTCATGCACCATCCTCACAACTGTAATGTTTCAGCCCATTGTTGCTGCCACTGTATCAATCCATCTTGTGGAAGTTCCTCTTTTTCTCTTACCTTCCACTTTTCCAAGCACAATGTCCTTCTCCATAGGCTGGTCCCTTCTCACCACATGTCCAAAGTACAAGAGACAGAGTCCTCCATCCTCACTTGTAAGGAGCGCTCTGTACTTCTTCCAAGATAGACTTGTTTGTTCTTTTGGCAGTCCATGCTAATTTCAGTATTCTGCACCATCACCGTAGTTCAAATGCATCAGTTCTCCTCTGATCTTTCTTGTACATTGTCCAACTTTCGTATTTATATGAAGTGATTAAAATGACCATAGTTGGATTGGATAAACCTTAGTCCTCAAAGTGACATCTTTGCTCATGAATATTTTGAAGAGGTCTTTTGTAGTAGATTGCCTGATAAATTACATTTCTTTCATTCTTGACTGCTGCTGATTTCTACATTCTGTTGATGATTTCTATATTCTGAAGGCTGTAGTTTTTTATATTCATCACTTAATATTTCAAGTGTTCTTCACTCCAGCAAGAAGGTTGTGTCATCTGCATATTTCAGGTTGTTAATGAGCATTTCTTCAATCCTGATGCCACATTGTTCATAAAATAGAGCATCTTGGGCTATTTGCTCAGCATATCAATTGAGTAGGTATGTTGAAAGGATACAATCCTATTGAACACCTTCCCTGATTTTAAACTATTCAATTTCCCCTTGTTCTGTTCTGTCAACTGCCTCTTGGTTTATATACAGGTCCCTCATAAGCACAATTAAGTGTTTTGGAATTGCCATTTCCAGTGTTACCCAGTTTGTTATAAGCTATACAGTCAAATGACTTTGCATAGTCAATAAAGCACAAGTAAGGATCTTTCTGATATTTCCTTTCAGCCAAGATTCATCTGCTATCAGCAGTGATAGCCTTTGTTCCACATCCTCTTCTAAATCCAGCTTGAATATTTGGCAGCTCCTTGTCAAAGGATGGCTGCAACCTTAAATTATCTACTTGCATGTGATATTAATGATATTATATGATGATTTTACATTCCATTGGGTCACCTTTCTCTAGAATGAACACAACTCTGGATCTTTTACAATTTTTGGGTTAACGTCTGAATTTCTTGGCGTTTAGTGAAAGATTTCAATTTGTATTCCATCAGTCCCTGGAGCCTTATTTTTTGTCAGTGCCTTCAGTCCGGCTTAGTCTTCTTCCTTCAATACGATAGGTTCTTTATCATACATTACCTCTAGAAATGATTGAACATTGACCATTTCTTTTTGGTACAATGACTGACTGTGCATTCCTTTTGTCTAATTTCGATGCTTCCTGCATCATTCAAAATTTTTCCATTGTTGTTTAAATGCCATCAAGTTGATTCTGACTGTTAATGACCATGTAAAGGGTTTCTAAGGAGCAGCTGGTGGGTTTGAACAACTGCCTTTGTGGTTAGCAGTGCGCTGTTTATCCTTCAGTGCCACACCAAGACTCTGTTTTGCCCATAGAATCCTTCAATATTACTACTACTTGAGGCTTGAATTTTTTCTTCAATTCTTTCAACTTGAGAAATATTGAGCACATACTTCCTTTCTGGCTTTCTAACTCCAGGTCTTCGTACATTTCATTATAATACTTGACTTTGTCTTTTTGAACTGCCCTTTAAATTTTTTCTGTTGAACTCTTTATTGTTTCTTCTAGTTGCTTTAGCTTCTCTAACTTCAAATGCAAGCTTTAGAGTCGCATCTGAAATCCATTTTTGTCTTTTCTTTCTAGCCTGTCATTTTTATGACCTTTTTGCTTTCTTCATATATGATGTTCTTGATGTCATCCCACAACACTTCTGGTTTTCTGTCATTTGTGTTTAATGTATAAAATCTGTTCTTGAGATGGTCTCTAACCTTAGGTGGAATATATTCAAGGTCATGCTTTGGTTCCTATAGACTTGTTTAATTTTCTTCTGCTTCAGCCTGAACTGGCATATGAGCAATTAATCATGTGTTTTGTAGTCTTCTTCTGGCTTTGTTTTGACTGACAGTATTGAGTGTCACCATCATCTTTTCCCACAGATGTAGTCAGTTTCATTCTTGCGTATGTATACCATCTGGTGAAGTCCATGTGTATAGTTGCTGTTTGTGTTGTTGAAAAAAGGTATTCACCATGAATAAGTCATTGGTCTTGCAAAATTCTATCATGTGATCTCCAGCATCATTTCTATTTCCATGGCTGAATTTTCGAACTACTGATCCTTTGTCTTTACTTCCAATTTCTGCAATGCAATCACCAGTAATTATCAGTTCATCTTAATTGCCTGTTTGATCAATTTCCGACTAGAGAAGTTGGTAGAATTCTTCAGTTTCATCATTGGCTTTAGTGGTTGGTACATAAATTTGAATAATAGTGATATTACTCAGTCTTCCATGTAAGCATATGGATATTATACTATCACAGACAGCATTGTAGTATAAGATATATCTTGAAATGCTCTTTTTGATGATAAATGTAACTCTTTTCTTCTTTAATTTGTCATTCCCTCTATAGTAAACCATAAGATTGTAAGATTCCAAATGGTCAATACTAGTCCATTTCAGCAGAACGAAACACTGCCCGATCCTGGACCATCCTCACTACTGTTGCCACACTTGAGTCCATCGATGCTGCCACCTGGCCAGTCCATCTCCTTAGGGGTCTTCCTCTCTTTTTCTGTTCCTCAGCCTTACCAAACATGATAATCCTTCTCCAGCAACTGGCCCCTTCTAACAATATATCCAAAGTATCAGAGACGAAGTTTGGCCATTTTGGCCTCCAAGGAGCACTCTAGCTGCACTTCATCCAAAACTGATTTATTGGTTCTTTTGGCAGCCCATGGCAAACACCATAACTCAAAGGCATCTATTCTTCTATGGTCTTCCTTATTCACTGTCCAGCTTTCGCATGCATATGAGGTTATTGAAAAT